GGAAGTAGGCGAGCAGCACCAGGCCCGAGATGAGCACGCAGGGCACGATGATGTTGATTGTGTAGAAGAGTGGCTTCCGGCGGATGATGAGCGTGTAGACGACGTCAATGCCCCCCGGGTCGTCCGCGGAGCCCCCGTGGTGATGGATCAGTCCGGGGCAGAAATCGATGGCCCACTCGCCATTCTCTGCGGGGTGGGAGGCGAGGTCAGCCCTCGTGGGCCCCACGCCTGGCCGCGGGCCCCCGGTTTCTGGGCAGAGGGAGCCGTTGCGGCCGGCCCGCCCCTAGTGGTCTGGGTGGCGCGGCGGGCGACAGGCGAAGGCGGTTCGGGCTAGACGGGCCCGCCCGGTGCAGGTGCACGACGGACGCAGGCCAAGGAAGTCATGCCGGGCTCACTGTCGAGGGTGGTTTCGGGAGGGGGGGGGGTCAAGGTCGAGCCCGGCTGCCAAAGCCAAGGCCCGGTGTCGGTGGCCCGGGGCAGCCCCCCTCGGTGAGTGTCCCCTGTCTGGGCCCCGTCTAGAGGCGGGTTTCGGAGCGGAAGGGGGCCTCACCGGTGTACGCCTCGGTGTCGATGTCGATGTTGCTGATGGTCTCGCCCTCCTCGTCCACGGCGAAGACGAACTCCACCTCTCGGGCGTTGTACGTCTGCGAGCTGCGGGGCCGGGGCCGGCACAGACCCGGGCTGCTGGGACCCGGGCTGCCCCCAGCCCCACCCCCACCCCCGTCGCGCCGCCCCGCCCCCGCCCCCGCCCCCGAGCAGGTGGCCCCACCGGAAGACGAGCGAGCAGTTCTGCCAGTCGAAGGGGAAGTAGGTGACCTCCACGGCGCAGCTGCTGCGGTAGATGGCCGGGGGCAGCCAGCTCAGGTAGCCGCCCTCGTAGACCAGCACGTTGGCGTCGTAGGCCACGCCGAACTGGCCGTCGATGCTGTGGACTCCGGGAAACGCGGCGTTTGCGCGCGGCCGCGACCCCCTCACCCTCCCGGCCTCCGCTGCCCTGGCCCAGCGCTCACTTGTTTTCCAGCACGATCTCAGGCAGCCACACGAGCTCCGAAGGGACCCGCAAGGTTTCTATGCCCCCGAAGTCGTCCTTACTGAAGTTGAGTCTGTAATCCTGCCAGTCCTGAGGGGTGGGATGGAAACACGTGCGCCCCGGGGCCCCACGGGGGCTTGGGGGAGAGGGGTCCCCGCACCAGACCTCACCCTGCTCCCCACGTCGGACTCACGATTCCAATCCAGACGCTGGTGGTGAGGGTCTCCTCTTTCTCGTTCTGCAGGTGGGGGATCGGGGTGGTCGGGGCGGGGCCCCAGGGTCACACACAGAATTTGGGGTTTCAGGCGGAAGTATCTTACTAGTGAGATCAGGTTGGTCAGGGTGACCTTGAGGGTGACGGTGACAGTGTCTCCAGGCTCCTTCACCGGCCGGCGTTCTGGGTCATAGTTGTCGAAAAGATGGTGGTAGAGACGTAGCTCTTCGTTCTTGCCGTCACCTCCACCTGGGGATGGGGTCTACCTGGGCTCACCGCGGGGACGGGGCTGGGGGCCTCCTTTGCCTCTGCGTCTGTCTCTGAGGCTCTGTGATCTCCCCGCCTCCCGAACCACATACCGAGCCTGGGGACCAAGTTTCGGGCCTCAGCCTCCTCCTCGGCCCCTTGTCTTTGTCCTATGCCCTGTGTCATTGTCCCGTGCGTGTGTCCCACCCCTGTCCTTACCGAGGAGCTCCAGGAGGAGCAGGGCACCCAGCAGAGCCCCCGCCATCCCGCCGTCCGGTCCTCGGGGTTATTCTGAGCGTTGAGGTTGGGAGAGGGAGTAAGGGGAGGTGTTAGTTCCGGGCTGGGTAGGGGACTGTCACCTAATCCTGCCGGGCGGGGGCGCCCG